GTTCCCTCTTTTGAGCTACTGCATCCATAGGTGTAGGTCAAGTTCATCAAATTGTACCAGATTACTCTTTTTTTTCTCTTCTTCTAGTTGAGCTCTGATCATCCAGTCATTGAAGCCAGGTCGAGTGGGTATTATCTGGAAGTATGGGTGTTCTTATGCATATACCCTCTCTTCTTATCAGCTGGATGCTTCACTCTCCACTCTAACTTTCTTCCTTCTTGATTCTGACATCCTAAGTATAGACAGTCCTGGTGTGGCACCGTAGGATAAGCACTAGACTTCTAACTGTAAGATCAGTGGTTCAGGCCCACCAGCCGCTCCTCAGAAATCCTATACAGAGTTGCTATGAGTCAGAACAAATATAGAGAAGTCCTCTAAATTAGCTGTGTGTGGATTACTACTAAAGGAATTGTAAGAAGTAGCAGTGTTGTTAACCTCATGACTTGTGAGTCTGAGGAAAATTCATTTTTATTGTTAGCTGCCACAGAGTTGGCCCCACTCATAATGGAACCAAATGCAGCTGCTCCTGCTCAGTACCTGTGATTCATGTGGACCAGGCCATTGTGGCCCATAGGGTGTCAGTAACCGACTCTTGGAGGGTACCACTGAACCTAGAGGGAGTGTTTAGAAGGGCTTGTTCTACTCCCCCCAAAATCATCCCTTTAATATCCTATGATAGACAGTACTATTATGATGTAAGTCAAGAGTTGATGAGACAGCAACTGGTTGTTTTGTTTAAATTCATTACAGACAATTATAAATTTCTATATGCTGAACTATTGAAAGAACTTATTATCTTGGCTACTATAAATTATACCATCAGCGGCTTTATGAAACACAGAATTTGAACTATATGGTGACTTAAGAATTTCAGATAGACTTTGTGCTAATAAGTAAATAGCGTTTCTGTGGAACTCCCCTTCCATCTTGTGCTTTTGCTGCAGTAGAGGAACACTGGTTACTAAAGGAGACTTTAGCTTTCTTTCTCTATCCTAGGTTATCAAGGCTGCCTATAACCACGTAAAAACAATTGCTCAGGGAAACCTTCCTGATGGAGTCATCCAGATGGCCAAGTAAGTTTCAACATTAACTGTGTGTTCTACTAATGTAAGTTGCCATTCTTTTCAGTCATGTAACACACAGTACTGTAAGGACTGAAAAGAACAGTGAAATATTAAAAAGGAAAGAAACACACATGCATAATCCTGCTACCTGGAGATGAAACTGTTAACATTTTGCTTGATTTCTTGACCATTTTAAAATAGAATTGTTAGCATTGTTTGTTGCTGTGTGCCCTTAAATTGGTTCAAACACACAGAAACCCTGTCATAGTTCCAAGTCACAATCTGAAAAGGTTGTGTACCGTTTTATAATCACACCACCAGTATATGAGTGTCCTGGTGTGGCACTGCGGGTTAATGCGCTGGACTACAAAGTTGGTTTTAACCCCAAGGTTGGCAGTTCAAGCTCACCAGCCACTCCTTGGAAACCCTATACAGGGTCACTATAGGTCAGAACCAATTCAATGGTCAGTGATTCAAACTCACCAGCTTCTCCTTGGAAATCATATACAGGGTCACTATGGGTCAGAACCAATTCAACGGTCAGTGATTCAAACTCACCAGCTTCTCCTTGGAAATCATGTACAGGGTCTCTATGAGGCGGAACCAGCTCCAGGGTTCTCCTCTACCATACCACTGGAATTTTTTTCCTTCTTTACTAGTTTGATAGACAATAAAGACATCTGGTTTGATTTTGTGTTTCTCTCTAAAATAAAGGGTCAGATGCTTTTCTCCTGGGCTCTGGTGTGGTGCTGTAGGATAAGCACTGGACTAGTCATTGCAAGATCTGTAGTTGAAATCCACCAGCCACTTGGAAATGCTATACAGGGTTGCTATGAGTTGAAATCAATGCAACAGCACACAACAACTACAACTTTTCTCGTGCGTGGTTTTTGTTTTTTTTTTCTTATTCCCACTGTACAGATTGAAAGTGCTAACAACACTTCTGTTGTTAAGTGCCATTGAGTCAATTCCGACCCATAGCAACCCGTATAGCATTTCCAAGGAGCAGCTGGTGAGCTTGAACCGCCGACCTTGCAGTTCAAATGGCTTTGCAGTCTGGTGCATTAACCCACAGCGCCACCCCAGGACTCCAACAACAGCACCTCTAGCTCATTAGTACTGCAGGTTGTTTCTATAACAAGCCTGATAATGCCTCAGTCCTTCAGACAAAATTAACAACCAATCTTCATTCTCAAGATACAGCAGCAGTGTAAGACTCATCCATGTAGGACAGTTAGAATGTGAATTCTGAAGTTCCCATGGTCTTCATGATCAAACAGATGGCCTGATTCCATAAATGTGTGTAAACTCACAGCCGTCGAGTTCACTCCAGTTGAGAGCAACAACATGGAGCAGAGTAGAACCACTTCACAGGGTTTCTGAGACTGAATCGTTACAGAGTATATCGCCTCAGCATCTGGTGATTTCAAACTGCTAACCTTTCAGTTGGCAGCCTGACATATCACCTATTGCACCGTTGTTGTGAAGTGCCGTTAAGTCGGTCCCAACTCATAGCGACACTGTATTGGGTTTCCAGGGAGCACCTAGTGAGCTTGAACCGCTGACCTTGAAGTTCACAAGGCTTTGCAGTCTGGCGCATTAACCCACAGTGCCACACCAGGCCACTCTGTTGCCACTCGTTGTTGTGAAGTGCTGTCGAGTTGGTTCCAACCCATAGCGACCCTGTATAGGGTTTCCAAGGAGTAGCTGGTAAGCTTCAGTTCAGACGGCTTTGCAGTCTGGCACATTAACCCACAGCCCCCCCCCCACCCCACCCCCAGGACTCCGTGTTGCCACTAGAGCTCTGTAAACGTGTATAGTAGAAATCACCAAGAAGTATGCAGAGTAAATTACAACCCAGCATGGAACACCTTTTAGTTATTTCTGTTCTAATTTTATTGTTACTTTTGTTATACTGCGCATACTACAAAATTGCATCTCCTGAACAGGTCCAACACAATTTATTAAATAATGTATACATGATTGCACCAGAAGTAAAACATTATATGAGAATAAATTGAAACACCGGACTGACTTAAGAATTAAAAGTCTAAATGTCACGTCTAATTTATTGAGTGTAGTAGAGTTTTTAATAGAGTATGGCAAAATGGAAGTTCAGTTATTAATGTCAAGATGTGTTCATTTTTTGACATTTTGATGGAGCAGATACTTTTCCTTGTATGGTTTCTTAGTCTTTCTGTAGCAGAAGAAAAGATGAGGTGTCATTGCTGAAGGGACAAAGTAGTAACCTCTTGGTAAAGTTAATTGCAGGTAAAATCTTCTTAATTAGGCTAAGAGTGTGGTAAAATTGCTGCATTAAATTTTAATTATAACAGAAGTCTTTCTAAACAGTGCCAAAAGATAATAGTTTATTGGAAGGTTAAATAACTCCAGTGCCTTATTGAACACCATGTTTATAAGGAATAGCAGTTTCTTCCTTGGGAAATTATAAATTTGTTTTATTTCAAATGGATCAATAAGATGGTAGCATGGACTAGTTGCTTCTGTGACTGTGTGTGGGCTGTCTAAACAAACAAACCCATTACCGTCAGTTGATTCAGACTCATAGTAATGCTGAAGTACAGAGCAGCGCTGCCCCATGGGGAGGGTTTCCAGAACTGCAAATCTGGATACACACCTTTCTCCCTTGCAGCAGCTGGTGGGCTCAAACCACCAACTTTTTGGTTGGCAGTTGAGCGCTCAATCATTGTGCCAGCAGGACTCCTGTTTCAGCTGTCTTCTGGAGCTGATAAAACCTGTCCTGTCCTGTTCTAGCTGTCATCGCCACCTGCCTTCATCATGCCCCACCTTCCTTAAAACAAATCCCAGCGCAGACAAAGGTTTGACGGGGAAAAATCGATTTTGAATTGCTAAGTGGACAGTGCCTGAGAACCCACATAGGTATTTTCCTTTAGTAGAAATGATCAAAACTAACAAAAAAGGTATCTCAAAGCAGGTGTATGTCACAAATTAAAACCTCACATTAAAATTGTGTCAACTAGATCTAAGTCCTAGTCTAAAGTCAAAGAGCAATCTGTTAGTTTTCAATGACGGCTTTCCAAAACGATCGTGTCCATAGTAAAATAGTGGGAGGAGTTTGCTGCTGCTGCTGCTGCTGCTGTTAAATACTATTGAGTCGCTTCCAACACGTTACGACCTTATATAGGGTTTCCGAGGAGGAGCTGGGGTGGGTTTGAACTGCCAACCTTGTGGTTTGCAGTGCAGTGCTGATTCTACAGTGCCACTCCAGGAGCACTTTAGCATTGTAAGATTTCAGTGCTATTTTGCACATTTACCTAAATTTGGGGACCTACTTGACAACTGCTTTTATCTATAAAACGGCCTTAGTTAACATGCCCTTTTTTTGGATAGGAACAAGCTAAAAGCTGGATACCTAATGTCAGTGGAGTCTTCAGAGGGTTTTCTGGATGAAGTTGGGTTCCAGGCTCTAGTCGCTGGTTCATATATGCCACCAACCGCAGTCCTTCAGCAGATTGACTCAGTGACTGCTGCTGACGTCCAAAATGTAAGCAAATGAAAACTTCCATCATGTGGTGGGATTGTGACTTCTAACCTAGATATATTCTATGATTTTGATAGTCAAATAACACTCATGATCAGTTGCAGAAGGAATACAGAGCATCCTAGAACTGTTCCTGTTTTTCTCATGCTCTCTGCTGCCTATCCTCCCTGGTGTGAGGCAAGGGCCTTTTTATCGTCACAACTACAAATATTTCCCTCACACAACTAAACTACCATTAGGTGAAGCCATCTAAAATCCTCTTATAAGTCAAAAAGAACTAATGGCCATTTCATGTGACTCAACCTAATAGTGAACGTTTGAACACTTTCCCCTTGATCCCCCAGAAATAAATTTTATATCCTACCAATACTTCTCCATCCAGCATATTAGAATTCCCTTTACTTTGCTCATGTTAGATGTTTTTCCACATATACTATTGTTCCCTACAAGATTGAGTTGCTTTGAGGGCAAGAATTATGTCTACATGAACAAACATGAAATACATAAGCTACAAAATAAATCCAAAAGCAGTGGTTTTCCCCAGTTATTTAGACATTAAAAATGTGGTCTTTTCTTTCATTATAGTGGTCTCAAGCACTCTCACCAACAGATGATTTTAAAAGATACAAAAAAATTTTAAGATAGTGCTGTTGATTTGATTTCAGTTGGCCCCTAAAGTTCCTCAATCCTGCTCTTATAGAAGGTTGTCCTTATCTTATGTACGGCCCAGCCACCTCCCCCACCATCTCTGCTTCATCAAAAACAAAACAGACTGGAGCTAATGGGGAGACTGCTGCTCTCTCCCTCATGACTACATTTAACCTAAAGAACCAACTTTTGAACTTCAAATAGTGTCATAATGAATGAAGATACAAATTTTAACTTCTAAGTTAATCATATATTTGAATTGGCCCAGACTATTTACCATTGTAATACAGAAACAAAAATACTTCTTGGCCCAAGACTGACTGCTGTACTTGTACATTGTTAGTAAGTTTTTCCTTATCTCCCTGTTAGCAGCTACCCTCTTACCTAGAGCACCTCACTTGCCCAGTTACATAAATAATAGATGTTCAAATCTGATCCTTTCCTCCTGTATCATCATCACAAGTGAAACACTGGCCATCTCTTGGAGTCAAGTTTGAAAAGATTTACTGGCTTAGAATATCCTAGCCACCGTCTCTTAGAATAAGAGAATAAGTTTACTCAATTGTGCATTTTCTCATTTCAGTTAACTTTTTGTCTTTTGTTTGTTTATTTAAAGGCTGCAGTGAAGTTTGTTTCTGGCAAAAAGTCAATGGCAGCAAGTGGAAATTTGGGGCATACACCTTTTGTTGATGAGTTGTAATACTGAAGTACATGAGAGAACAAAACATTTTCTCAATCCAGAGCAGCAAACACATGAAAGTCAAAAGTGTATAACATACCATTTCTCTTGTATTTTTTCTTTTAATGAGCTGAAATATCTTAAGGCATAAATGCAAGTAATTATTCCCAACTGACCTAAAGGCAATAAAATGTTCTGTGTAAAGGCTTATCTTGTGTTTTTTCTAATCAGTTAATCAGTAAGTACTTAGATGCTCAAGTCTATGTCTTTAGATTCTGTAAAGGAAACAGAGTAGACCTTGCTGAGTACAGAAACATAAGGAACTATTGAAATTAAGGCTAACTGCCTATCAGGATGAGTATTTCCAGATTGTTAATGATGGTTTTTTAAATAGTAATTTGGATACCAAAGAAACCCATTGCTGTCAACTCAATTCCAACTGCCCCACAGACTTTCCAGGGCTATAAGTCTATCAGAGAAAACTGTCAATCTCTCCTCCAGAGGGGCTGGTGGTTTTAAACCGCTAACCTTTTGGTTAGCAGCCAAGCACTGCTACTAGGGCTCCTTAATATGGGGGTCTGAAGTCCAGGACAGTTATAGATATTCTGGGCTTTACCCTCCTGTATCCAGCACTTCACTTTTTCTTCACTGTGACAGTTTTTTTCTTTCACCTCCTATCCCTCCCTCATCTGTTTCTATCCAGTCTCTTAGTTACTTACCTATCAACCCAACATTCAAACTGAGACTGATGTTTAAAAGGGAAGGGGAAAAGGCCTAATGTGAACCTACCAGCCACACGGCTGGAGAAAGGCGAGGCTGTCTGCTCCCATAAAGACCTGCATTCCCAGAAACCCTAAGGAACAGTTCTGCTCCACCCTACAGCACGCCTATGAGTTGGCATGCGCTTGATGACAGGTTTTTCTAATGTGAACAACTCATTGAAAAAAATATATATCCATATAATTTCTTTTAAGTAGACACTCTTATCTTGCAAGAAAGAAGAACTAAATATCTACAGGAAAATGTACTTACCTTAAAAAGTAAGTTCTCTACTATGTTTAGGCATTATAATACTGGGTTCTTCTACTACATTTTGTAAAAGATGAGACATACTCTCGGAACAGAGGGTCTCAGTGATCTGAATGATGTTGCTATTTTGAGTGAAAGAAGGTCCCTAAGGCTTCACAATGTAATCATAGAAGAGAATTGATCAATCTGCAAGTATTTCTAAAGTATAGCAACCTGTACATGGTAATGCACAGACATTGCTTCGAAGAGAAGTACTGTAGTCCTAGATTTGCCAACGAATGCCTAACCAGGCTGGCCCTTGCCCTTTTCAATTTGGGCACATTCTTCCAGCCAAAATGCATCTGAGGTTGAAGAGGCCGAGGAGGAGGAGGAGGCTTGTTCATAGTCTTGCTTCACCATTGTCCAGTATGGAGAAGGGGCTCGCATGTCCTTGTGATCTCTGTGAATTGTCACATCAGCATTAATGTCTTTTCCTACACTAATAGTGTGGTTCTTCTTCGCATATCCATGCCATTCCGTGGAGATGGACATTGGTCTCCTTGCAGAATAATGACCTGTTGACCGTGGATATCTATGATATTTAAGTCCTTTGTCTAAAACGACATCTTCATTCTCATCACTTGTGAAATTGTCATCTTTTGTCTGCTCAGTTTTCTTTGATGTGCTGAAATGAATAGTGAGTGAAATGGATTCTTATTAAACGATGCCTTATAACCTGTTTTTGTTCATAAAAGAAAATACACAGTTTGGCATTAATACAACCTTTTGAGTTTCTCCCTTTTTAAACATACCTTTAAATTTTTTTCATTGGTAAAATTAAATAAAATTTTGACATAAATTACTTCATACTACTTTTAAAAGCTTTTGATAGCTCTAAGCCAGAATACTGACAAGGGATATTTACATAGACTGAAAGGCAGACGTTTGATCAGAACAAGGGAATACAGAATTGTTTAAAATTGGAAAGGTGTATATCAAGGTTGTATCTTTTCATCGTCATTATTTAATCTGCATGCTGAAAAAATAATGAGAAGCATATGAAGAATGTGGCATTAGGGTTGGAGGAAGACTCATTTACAACCTGAGATAACTCATTAACAACACAGCCTTGCTTGCTGAACATGAACAGCTGAAATACTTACTGCTAAAGATCAACGCACAGCCTTCCATATGGATTGCAACTTAATGTAAAGAAAACAAAACCCCTTACAACTGGACCAATAAGTAAATAATATATAAATAGAGAAAAACTGAAGTTGTCAAAGACTTCAATATGCCTGGATCCACAATTAGTGCTCATGGAAGCAGCAGTCAAATCAAAAGTAAAGGAATTTGTAATAAATAACAAGACCAACTTTACAAAAATACTAAAGGATGTTCTTTGGACTGAAAACCAACAACAGACAACAACCTAAGATAACATCCATGACAACACCATCCAGAACTCAATGCAGATTTGTTAAGTGCCATCAAGTCAGTTCCGACCCATAGTGACCCTGTATAGGGTTTCTGAGGAGCAGCTGGTGAGTTTAAACTGCCAGCCTTGCAGTTCAAATCGACTTTGCAGTCCAGCACACTAACCCACAGCACCACACCAGGACTCCAATACAGATATAGAAGTATTTAAAGTAAAACACACTTAAAAGGTTGAAAATATGAAACTAGAGCTAACAATTTATAATGACGTCAACTACAAACCAAAAAAGGAATAGTGTAGATAACAGAACTTAATAGATTTCAAGATGAAACAGACTGTTCTAAACAGAGGAAAAATTAAATTACAAGGAGCTTCAAATACATTTTTTTGTTAAAAAAAAAAAAAACATACAGAAAACAAATTCTGGCAAGGATGTGGAAAGACTGGGCTCCTCGTACCTGGTGGGACTGTAAAATGATGCAACCACTGTGGAAAGCAGTATGGCGCTTTCTCAAAAAGTTGGAAATAGAGATACTGTTATGACCCAGAAATCTCTCTACTTGGTATCTATTCCTCAAGCACTAAGAGCCGTGACACCACTAGATACCTGCACACCTGTGTTCATTGCATAACTATCCACAATAGCAAACAGATGGAGACAGCCTAAATACCCACCAACAGAAGAGTGATTAAACAAACTTTGGTACATACACACAATGGTATATTATACAATGTTGAAGAATAACAATGAATCTGCAAAACACCTCACAACAAAGATGAACCTGGAGGACATAATGTTGAGTGAAATTATTCAATCACAAAGGGGCAAATATTGCAAGAGACCACTTTTGTAAAAAGTTAAAATATTTTCTTGCTTACTGGGAGATGTGGGTGGGACGATGGAATTATTCATGAGCAGAAGGAGCTCTGGTAGTGTAGTGGTTACAAATTGGGCTGTGAACCTCAAAGTCAGCAGTTCGAAACTACCAGCTGTTCTGCCGGAGAAAGATGAGGCTTTCTGCTCCCATAAAGATTCACAGCCTCGGAAACCCTGTACAGGGTCGCTATGTGTCGGAACCGACTCCACAGCACGTAACTACCACCACTAGAGGGTAGCAGAGACCGACAGAGATAGTGTAAGAGTTGAAAAACTAGAGGCAAATACTGTTAACTGATATCACATGGAGGGGATTGCAATTATTGTAATGAAACAAAGTCTATATGATTTGCTGAAGGTAAAACTGATGATCTGCTCAATTCACAAGTTTTTTTTTTTAAGGGCTAATTACTATGGAAAAAGAAATAGAAGGATGTACTGCATTAGGCAAATCTGCTGCAAAAGACCTATTTTGTTTGTTTTAAAAGAATTTCTTTTTTAGGGCAGTTTTAGGTTTACAAAAAACTCTGTCACCTTTTATTAGTATCTTCCATTTACTGTGGTATATGTTCTAACTGAAGTTGTCCTTGACAACTTCAATCTTTTCTCCTTTGATAAGAATGTTGTTTATTGGTCCAGTGATGAAGAGTTTTTTCGTTATATTGAGATGGAATCCATACTGAAGACTGTGCTCTTTGATCTTCATCAGTAGTAAATATTTTAAGTCTTCTTTACTTTCAACAAGCAAGGTTGTATCATCTGCATATCTCAGGTTGTTAATGAGTCTTTCTCCAGTCTTGATGCCATGTTTTTCTTCATTTAACCCAGCTTCTCGGATTATTTGCTCAGCATACAGGTTGAATAAGTATAGTGAAAGAATATAACCCTGTCATACACCTTTCTTAATTTTAAACCATCCAGTGTTCCTGTGTTCTGTTCGAACAACTGCTTCTTGGTCCAGGTACAGATTCCTCATGAGCAGAATTAAGTGTTCCAGAATACTCATACTTCACAATATTGTCCACACAATCGAAAGCCTTTGCATAGTCAATAAAGCACAGGTAAACATCTTTCTGATATTCTCTGCTTTCAGCCAAGAATATCGCACATCAGCAATGACATCCCTTGTTCCACGGCCTCTTCTGAATCCGGCATGAACCTCTGGAAGTTCTCTGTCACTGTATGCTTGCAGCCATTTCTGTATTACCTTTAGTAAAACTCTACTCTAATGGGATATCAAAGAGATTGTCCAATGATTTCCACATTCCGTTGGGTCACCTCTCTTTGGAATGGGCACACATACAGATCTCTTCCAATCGGTCAGCCA